TTTATTGATTTAATTAATTAATTTTTATTTTTATTATTATTTTTAATTGAGTGGCTGTTGGTCTCTGAGCCCACGACAGAGACTTTTCAATCCTATAATTCTATTGAGGTCAGTTTTTTGAGTGACTCTGGCAGGTTTTGATTGAATGAATGCTTTGTTTTCTGCAGCTCTTCAGAAATGTTTGACGGAGTGAACGGTGTTCAGGTGAGACGTCCAGCTTCTGCTCTTCAGACCAACACAACAACAACAAAATCATCTCAAATATATCATCAATGTTTGATAAATCACTGTTTGTTGTTTAAAGTCATGTAAATATTGAAATGCAGTGGTACCCTGTCTATATATATATATATATATATGTATATGTATGTGGGTCAAAGACGAAAAAGGGTTTAAGCATAAAAACAATAAGTGTAATACTGCTTTAAATTGTTGTTGTTTTTCCCCCCAAAAAATGAAAAAGTTTTTTTGTTTAATTTAATTGCAATTTTGTTTTTGTTTTTCTGAGCAATAATAATAAAAAAAATAATAAAAGCAAATTTACAGAAGAGACTAGAGCCCGACCGATATGGGTTTTTCTGGGCCGATACCGATATTAGGGAGTAAAAAAAGGCCGATATCGATATATCGGCCGATATTCTTTGTGTATATTATAGTACAGTACCAGTCAAAAGTTTGGACACTTTCCCATTCGAGGGTCCAAACATTTGACTGGTACTATATATAGAATTCAGGCATATTTACAACAAAAGTACATTTTTTACATATTAAAAGACTAATTACTTTCACCCCAAATACTAATTAGTTGTAATTTTACATTTTTAAAATGTGCCACTATCCTAGGTTTGACCCATTTGTCAGTAAGCATTTTTTACTCATTTAAAACGCAATCAAATTTAATATGCTCTCTTATTCTTTTATATATTTTAATATGTACACGTCAGAATAAGCATGTTGTTTGAATTTTTACATAAATATTGTGTCACACTGAATGACAATGTAACATTATTTCAACCAAATTTTGACATTTTATTCTTCAAAAACTTATTTGAAACCTTAAAAGTAGACACTTTACTTACATTTAATGTGCTTTCTATAAACATATAATCACTTTTGTAAATTTCTTTTGATTCACTTGACCCATATATAAAATATGTATTTTATTTACGTTATATTTATTTATTTTATTGGACTTTTAGGAACTGAAGGTGTGTGCGGCTCACAGTCTCGTCAGCAGCCGTCGATCGCTCCGATCTGGATCAGTCCATCACCTGAGCGTCTGGATCTTCTCACGCACTTTGACCTTCACGGAGGTGACCTTACAGCACAGGTCACTGCTCTAATCCCTCACTCTTTCCTGAGACGCACATTCTGGGACGTCAGACTCGATTAACGTGGGTCACATGATGTTGAAGGGCGGGATGGATTTGTGTTTCATGGATTTTTTAAATATGTGTTCAGAAGCTGTTCACTGGACTGCGGCGTCACACGTGGGACGTTTAGTGTCTGTCTAAACACTCGTGGCGTCCGGTCGGACCAAACGGACTCACGTCTGACACACACACACACACACACGTGTTTTCTGATTAACCTTCACACTTTACTGACTTTATAAATTATTTGAGATTCATTCGTGTTTTAACGTCAATCAAACGGAAACGAATCACATCAAGAACTTTAAAGGTCACGGATCAGTCCATGGTGTGTGTGTGTGAGTGTGTGTGTGTGTGACTGTGAGTGTGTGAGTGTGAGTGTGAGTGTGACTGAGTGTGTGTGTGTGTGTGTGTGTGTGTGAGTGTGTGTGTGTGTGACTGTGAGTGTGTGAGTGTGAGTGTGAGTGTGAGTGTGACTGAGTGTGTGTGTGTGTGTGAGAGAGAGAGAGAGAGAGAGAGTGTGTGAGTGTGTGTGAGAATGTATGAGTGTTAACATAATATACATATTATACATATATATAAATGTAAAAATTTTTTATATATAATATATGTAATGATTAAAATACAAATATTTAATTACAAATTATATATATTAGATATATTACATACTTTTTAATTACATATTTTTTATTTAATAATATTTTAATACATATGTGTGTGTGTGTATATATCAGAGATATATTCAGCTCAGAGGTTATTCATATCGAAACGCTGATTCTGACATGATGTGAGCATCCCATAACTCTGTGTGTGTGTGTGTTTTATTTCTCTGTGTTCTTGTGTTTGTTTCAGAGTGTGTGTTTGTCATCTATTGAATTCTGTAGAAAATGAAGTGATCATGTTTTGTTGATATTGTCGTAATATAACTTTATTCATATGATTAGCCTTTATAATTTAATCATGTTTCACACATTAGCACTGGATATGAGACTGATTGTTTTTAAATCAGAGAAACATTGGTTTCTTGTGTTTGTTTCAGAGTGTGTGTTTGTCATCTATTGAATTCTGTAGAAAATGAAGCGATCATGTTTTGTTGATATTGTCGTAATATAACTTTATTCATATGATTAGCCTTTATAATTTAATCATGTTTCACACATTAGCACTGGATATGAGACTGATTGTTTTTAAATCAGAGAAACATTGGTTTAGTTTACACACACACACACACACGCAGAATGAATCAGTGAATCATCTGAGTTTAATGACTGAAGCTCATAGACTGTAAACACAGCAGCCTTGTTTATCTGATCATGTGATTGATTCAATTAGTGTCTCGTTTTATGTGAAATTAAATCAGGTGGCGTAAATGAGTTTGCACAGTTCTTTTCCCTCAGTTGTGTTCATTTAACGAGAATCAGAGTTTCTGAAGAGTCTGTGTTTTATCTGGCAAATATGAAGATATGCCTCTTGAAGTATTATTATCTGAATGTCATGTTCATAAATCAGTCATATACAGACGAGTTTGATGTGACATCTGGAAAATATAGATTCGTTTACATGTTAAAGTCAAAATTTACTGATATGACTTCTTTCTTCAGTGTAACATAATTTTAAAAGTCAATAAGCTTCAGTGTCGTTTTGGACCCCATTGACTTTCATTTTATGTGTTTTCCATAGAATAAAGTCATTTTTGGCTGAACTATTCGTTTAAAATATGTACATTTGAGAACAGGGTGTTTAGTGTCTAATTAAATGTTAATTTTGACATAAGCATATCAAATTACTGTGAGATTATAACTGATGTTTTAAGTCTTTGTACATGTTTTGCTGTATTTGTGCCTTTATTGTTACATTTGATCATTGTGTAAAAAATCATAATTTTAAACGTTTCACAGTGTTTGTGTTTGACTGTCAATCAAACTGATCTGAGATGTTTATGTAAAAATAGCAGAACACCGACATTCACATCCATCAATATTATATTATTACTCCGACATTTATTACATTAACTTGCATTCAAATATTCAGTGACAAGCAAGATTTTAGAGAAACTGAACTGGAGCTAGCAGCCTGAAAATGAAAGTAAGTATCATGAAGACAAGCATTTATTTCTTTAGAATAACATCTGATGAATCATTTAAGTCCAGGAACATAAATCAAGAATCTATAGTTTTGATTACGTATTGACAATTATGCAAAATTTTAAGATTTCAGAGATTTCACTCATTTTTTTATTAGTTTTTATTTTTAGATTTCCCATTTTCATTGTAATTTTAAAGTGTTAGTAATTTTGTTGTCTGTCTTTGTGTGTGTGTGTGTGTGTGTTTTAAATGTGTATTTAATTTATAATATTTTTTCTATCAGTTTTCGTTATTTTCGCTTTTTTTTTAGTTAAACTAAAGAAAATGTTGCCTTGACATCTAGCTAAAATAAAATTAAGTTTTATGTATTTATTATATATTTCTATATACTTTAAGTTATATATATTCTAATTATAGGTTTTATGTATTTTATTTTATTTCACTTAATGATTTTATTTCAAGTAATGAAATTGTGTTTTTAATGGCTTTAGTTACAGTTGCAGGGTTTCTGTGGGTCTTCTGTTAATTTCTCTTAATTCCACAAATTAAGGCCTTAAAAGGTCTTAAATCGGAGCAAGAAGGCTTAAATTCATAAAGCCATGGCATTAAAAGGAAAAATAAAAATGAATATCTTCCTTAGTATTTTTGTTCTGTTTTCCAGTACAAATATCTAAATATCCTTAAATTACGTTTACTTGAGATGCAAAATCAAGATACTAAATTTTCTAAGAAACTGAACAAAGTTAAAATTGAGTCATATGCACTGGAAAACAAAGCAAAAATACTGAGGAAGAACATCACTTTTGTGCAGTTTGAGCAGAAGGTAGAGTAAAAGTTATTTCCATATTCTAGTTAAGCTATATTTCAATTAATTAAAAAGCAAATACACAAAATAATGTTCTTTTTAGCAGCATCATATGACCCCTTTAAATTTGTAAAAAACTGACAATATTTAACTATAAGTTAATCATAAAAGTATTTATACTTTGGTATACTTTACACACACACTCTATGAATGAGCTCATTTAAAAAAAAAAATTTCCAGCTGGATGTTTTCATTACTGTATTACATGAGAAATAATGAGAAAAATAATGAGAATTTGAAGTTTAATTGTCCTGAACATGATGCACAATGCAAAACTTTTAATGGTCCTAAATCAGGCTTCATTTTAATTGAAGCTCATTTTATTAATTTTTTTCACACCACACGATTTTCACTACTTTATTACATGAGAAATGATAAGAAAAATAATGAGAAATTGGATTTTGAACATGATGCACAATGCAAAACACTTGATTGCTCTAAGAATAGGCTTAATTTCTTGTAAAATATAATGTATTATATTTGATTTTTTTTTTAATTGAAAATTTTAATTTTAATTAGATGTTTTTTCTTTGATGAATTTAATTTTTGATAGATTTTTGATTTATTTTTCTTTTGCATTTCCCCCTGTCCTCTAATTATGTAACAGCATCAGAGGAGTGAGAATCGCATGTTTTCGTGTACGTGTACAGCACATGCATGTGTGTGTGTGTGTGTGTCTGATCATAACGCGTCGTTTAGAGGTCGTGACCCCACACAGTAAGGATCTTTCTGCTGTACGACAGCTCTTCATCTCTGACCTTCTTTCTGTTGTCTGCATGGATTCGCAGCTCATTCCTCTTTCATGTGAAGCGGCTGTAATTGGGCTCGTCTCGGTCATTATCGCAGTCAGACTCAGAGCGGTTTGTCCGAGACATTCAGAGCTCTTGTGTCCAGTTCAAAGGCTTTTTTCTTGGTTTCACAGACTCGATCTGAGCTCCTCATTAGCGTGTGGCCGTCTGACCCTCATATCACCATAGCAACTGTTTTCATGCTTTCTGCTCTTCTCTTTGTATATCGATCATAATCATATATGGTCGTACTTCTATATGTGACCCTGGAGCACAAAACCAATCATAAGGGTCAATTTTTCGAAATTGCGATTTATACATCATCTGAAAGCTGAATAAATAAGCTTTCCATTGATGTATGGTTTGTTAGGATAGGACAATATTTGGCTGAGATACAACTATTTGAAAATCTGGAATCTGAGGGTGCAAAAAAATCTAAATATTGAGAAAATCATCTTTAAATTTGTCCAAATGAAGTTCTTAGCAATGCATATTACTAATCAATAATAAAGTTTTAATATATTTATGGTAGGAAATGTACAAAACATCTTCATGTAACATGATCTTTACTTAATATCATAATGATTTTTGGCATAAAAGAAAAATCTGTAATTTTGACCCATACAATGTATTGTTGGCTATTGCTACAAATATACCCCAGCGACTTAACACTGCTTTTGTGCTCCAGGGACACATATCATGATTCTTTCTCTCACAATGCTTGATATGTTTATTCATTTATTTGTGTTGCGCTCCTGAATTCTGTGGGAAACTGAACCTGTAGATCCACTCTCTCTCGCAGGTCTGACATAGTTTCAGTCACGATGTAATGAGGATGACGTGATGCTTTCAATCATGACTAATGTGGTGTGTGTGTGTTGTGAGGTAGACGCTGATAGAGTGAATTGTAACATCTGATGGTTTAAAAGTAACTTTCCCCAACATTGTTCATGGAGCAAAAGGTTCTTTATAGTGGAAAAAGGTTCTTTACATTATTAAAAAGTTCTTCACACTAAGAAAAAAAAAAGGTTGTTAAAAAAAGAAAAAGTTTCGTTAAGGAACCAAAAATGGTTCTTCTGTGGCATTGCTGCAAAAACATCCTTTGGAAGCTTTATTTATATTTTTTTCACTTCGTACGGTGAAAAACTGTAATAGATCTACTGTGACATTTCATGTAAATGTACAGTAAAATACTGTTAAATTTAGTTTTTGGAACTGAAAGAGAACAAATTATAATTTACAGTGGAAAACCATAAATTGACATTCCTAGAATCCTCTGTGTGACAACTCACATTTCATGTTTTTCCACTGAACTGTTTCTAAAAAAATGCTTGTAATTTTAATGGTAAAAGACTATAAAATTGCATTGACAAAAACATTTTTAATTGATTAACGCTAAATTCCTTTACTATATACTGCAAACATTTTTTATAGATTTAACAGGACATTTTACAGTAAATTGTTACATTTCTAGTTTTTGGAAGTGAAAAAGAACAACTTGTTTTATTTACAATAAAAAACTTAAAATTGACATTCTCGGCTCACATTTGTTGTTGTTTTTTTTCATTGAAGTAACTGTTGTTTATTTTTTGTTCTGTACTTTAGGGTTTTTGTGTTACGTCTTGTATTAAAAGAATGTTTATTGCA